AAACGGCGGTGGCGGTGGGTATGGGGGTCGGGGAGGTTTCCGGCGGGGCGGGTACTGCGTGCACATGCGCGGTCTGCCCTTCAAGGCTACGCCGCAGGATATCGCATATGTAAGTATACATTGTACAGTTATGTATATCTTTTAAATACTTCTTATATCATTCCAACTAAAGCTAAGCTTGTTCTAGGATACGGTATACAAGTCGAATGACGAGATTCGAACCCTCGACCACGTGATCGGAAATCCATACCCCTAACCACTAGGCTATTGTTATTATTAGTAGTTTTAGTAAATATTATCTAGAATTATATCATGATAAAGCGTAAATACACTTCTTTGTTGCCTAAGATGTCAGCAATTACAGCATATTTTTGAATAATTCTTTTTTTAATAAAAAACCCTACACTTACGTCACGCTTAAGGCTATATATTTTCTGGCCAATAAACTTAGGGGGTAAATATTTTGGATAAAATCCCTTATATGAGAAAGAGACCGTAACTTGCTGCCAACATTAAGAAAATAAGTTTGCCAAGGTTTATCATGTCATGTCATGTCATTTTGACATTTACAATTGACATTTCGTCAAATGTAAACAATAAAATGAAATGTTGATAATTTGATGATTTGATGCGGTTGAAGCCGCACGGGAACAGCTAGTGTGTAATAGAAGGGTCTGTGTCAGTTCTTCAAGCCGGTGAGGCCGGTCAACATCAACATCCTGTACGACAGCAGCGGCCGGCCCTCGGGCGAGGCCGACGTCGACTTCGACTGCCACGACGACGCCATGCGGGTAACACACACACACACACACACACCATTTAACACTCTCAAATATATATTACTAGCAATCGCTCGCAACTCCGTCCCCGTGGAATAAAAAAACAAAAGTGAGTAGCCTATGTGTCCTTCCAGACTACCCTCTGCATCTATGCCAAATTTCATCGAATCCGTTCAACCGTTTAGGCTACAAACTAACAAACATACATCCATCCATCTATCCATCCATCTAAACTTTCGCATTTATAATATTAGTATGATTATAGACCTAATTTAAGTCCCTTTCTTTTTACCACCCTTTTCTTATGAGAGTATGGGAAGGGGAAGTGGATTTGACGATGAAGGCGATGCATAGGAAGAGGAAATATCCACTTTATGTGCGTCTCCTCCCATTTTCGAATAACGGTTGGCAACGCATCTGCGATCACGGATGCCTATGGGCAGTGGTCGCTTTGCCATTTTGGCAGATTCAAGTGACAGCTTGCTCATTTGCCATCTTATGTTGTAAAAAAAATGTACTTCATCTGGTGTTAATGACCGCGATAGCACTACTCTTCTATTAAAGTAGGCTCTAAGGATTTAGTTACCTCCAAAAGTTACTCCACCGATATCCATAGAGAAGATTGTTTTGTACCTGAATTTAAGATACTAAGCTAGCTCCCATATCTAACAGATACTATAACTACTGAAGTACTTGTGCTATCCGATTAAAAAAATTTGGAGTCAGTTCCTAACTCCTTAATAATATCAACAACAATTTTATAAAGATTTATATATTTATAAGTATTGAAATAACTCAAAAACCACCGATTTTAATTCTTTCATTATTAAAAGCTATGTCAACTATGAGTAACAGGCTAGTTTTTTTTACTATTTTAATTTTACGGAGATGATTTACATTGATTTCGCTTCGAAATTCCTTCGCCGTTATCAGAATGAACATAGGTTATTTTTCAAACCGAAGGGTATGGACTTAACAGAAAAGATATATGTAATTTTTCAGGCGATGAGACGAGATAAGCACAATATGGAGCATCGCTACATCGAGCTGTTCCTCAACAGTGCTGGGGGTGGTGCGGGCGGTGCGGGGGGCGGCGCGGGGGGCGGGCCCGGCTTCAAGCCCACACGCACATACAGGAACCTGTACTAAATGCACAATAAACTAATTATACATTTATGTACAGTCGAGGACATCCGCGGTGTACCCATCTTTGTTCCTTGCAAAGAACTCCGCCCTTTACATGTAATTAATTAGCAAGTTGAGAAAACGACGGAATATTAATTAAAAGTACCTCTAAGCGTAGTTTTATGCAAGCTTTTAGTCCAACAAAAAAATTTAATGTGGAACACTAACAAATTCCCCGACTGTACATTCGTAAATTTATACAGGAAATATCTAAACGAATAATGAATTTCGCTTTTATTAAGAAATCTCATCTATTGCGACTTTTTTGTACATTATACTATTAAATCCACTAGACATTTAGTTTAAATTGGATTTTAGCAAAGTTTTAACTGTCAGTTGAACTATTCAATTAAAACTGAATGTCTTTAGTGGGCTTTATAATGTCTACATGAATTACATTTATAACTGCGCAATGAAATTTATTTTTTAACATTTAGGGCCCGTTTAAATTATAAATTTCCTGATTAGTCTTGGATAGTACACGTACGATGTACTAAAAAATAATGTTACTTGGCTCTGTACTAAAAGTAACGTTACCCAACAGCTTCTGTTAATCGGACGTTTAGTACTTTTAGTACACTATACGATATCGGTGTTCGCCTTTTTGTCAGATTGAAGCATCCACCTTCAATAATAAGAATCAAAAGTGGATAAAACTATTTATAACTAAATTTATTTTCGCTAATATGTTTGACCCTGCTTAAAATTTGATGTGAAGTAATATATAACACTCGTTATATTCTATTCATGTTATTGTGTTCTCACAAATCTGAAGTACTAAAGGTACTAAAAGTATGTACTAGTACATTTTCCCAATTGTACTAGTACGTTCCGCACTCGCAGATGTCCGATTTAGCCCAAGACTGTCTGATAACAACGTCTAACGTGTGATGGAAATATCTGATTTTGGTACTTTATCTGACACCGACATTATAGCTATCTGAGCCTCTATCAGCCAGTGGTGGGACAGGCTCTAATTGTTTTATACATAGTCGGAGACATTTTTTTCTATAAACAATTATACATTGAGTTTTACATAGTCATAAAAATTAGAATTTAGTAATCCATATCATATTATATATAACAGCAATAAATTAAAAATGGCTGCTTTTCATATTGTTTTTGAAATTAAACCGATTTAGCGATTATTCTAGTACTGACTTAGTATTGTTGATATTTCGCATAATTATTGTAAGGACGATTTGATAAGTCACATTTCTTATATTAAAAACAACGTAACTTTATATTTTTAAAGACAGAATTTCACAATTTAAAATTACGAAAACTTTATTAAGAAACTAGCTTTTACCGTGCGACTTTATCCGCATAAAATTATTTTATTGTTTACATGTGTCAAATTATTATTAGCAAATGTCAAAATGACATGACATTACAAACCTTGGCAATCTCAGTTTCTTGATGTTGGCAGCAACTTATGGTCTCTTTCCCACATTAGGGTTTTTATACAAAATATTTGCCCTCTTAGTGTAATGACGTGAAAATATATAGCCTAAAGCGTGACGTAAGTGTAGGGCTTTTTATTAAAAAAAGAATTATTCAAAAATATGCTGTGATTGCTGACATCTTAGGCAACAAAGAAGTGTGTGTTTACGCTTTATTATAATAGTATCCGGTTTTAATTATTTTTTTGGAATAGTAATGATAAAGGTAATTACGATTTTGCATTATCTTTTTTATACTCTGTTACAGAAATGTGACTTATTAAATTGGTCCGAATACTTGTTAAATATTTCTAGTATTAGACATAAATAGTACAAGTTGATTCAATTTCTGTAACATTTGTATACAAACATTGTTATTCAATAAGTGAAAAGGACACCAATGTTTCTATACAAGTTTTTCCGCAATGGAAATGTAAACGTGAACAAGTGTTGTGTACGGCGCGGGGTCCAAAGTAATTTTTTTGGATTGTTTATTTACACGCTTAATACAAAGAAATCTTTATTTCAGTGTATTTTTAACTATTTTAACACTTTACGTATGTTTTCCTTGTATCTGACAATAACTTTTTCTTGTGGTTTCTACGTAAATAATTTTTTTTTATTCAATTTTTAAACAGTACTTTACTTGCAAATAAAAATACAAAGCAATAGTTAACTAAAATAATTCTAATGTAATTAAAAACGGTGAATAGTTTTTTTTTTTTAAGGATTTTGTAATTTTATGACTTATAGTTATTTACGTAGAAGTCATAGTATTATTAATTTATTTTCATAATGTCGCTGATTTTGCATGTTTTTGGTACATAAATGTTATTTTTATGTTGCTCTGTAGTGTACAGTTTCTGTTTGCGGTTTATTTATGTACTTTAGTATTAAAATATGTTTTATTTTGTACGGAAATAGGAGTTATGGGCGAGGAGAGAATAGATTAATTAATAGTAAGCAATTTATACTTTAATTAATAAATTATAGAAAATTAATGTTGGTTTTTTTTCGTACAAGTATAAAATCCCTATAACCCATTAAGAAAACGCTAGGAATAAAATGACACACTTTAATAATTAAAACAGTCTGATATAAGATTTCATTTTATTATTTTTGCTGTAAACAGAGTTCAGACGCATCTTGCTATCGTAGGAACAATTCACTCCGACTGAATTTGAATTTAGATTGTTCAGTTTTATTCTCCTGGCTCTTTCTATACAAATAAGTAGCAAAACAAACAAAAGTTACACCTTTCTGTCCTTTGGGCCCCGAAATCAGGCGGCTATAAAAATGAGCTCCTCAAATAAATCATGTGCAATCATTAGTGAAGCTCGGAGTGCGTGGCTAAACTACAAGAGAGTGGCGTTTTTGACATACTGATTTAGTTTTTAAGTTCACGGTTTGAATTTGCATTATATATTTGATAGCACAATGTATGTACACATGCCAATAAAATTACAAGATTGTGTAAGAGACATGTCTGTGTTAAACGTCGCATCTTACCTTGTCTTCCAGAACTTGTATGTAGCTGTCGCAAATTCAAATGTGCTACATGCGCCTGCAAGTTGTACTTGTGTAATTGCTTGTGTAGTTCAAGCGTTATATCGCTGTCGCTATTATTTTGCGCCGCGTTGGTGCCGGGCGGGCTCGCGGGCGCCGCCGACCCGGGCGCCCGCCGCTCCGCCGCCGCCCGGAGCCGGCTCCGCTCCGCCGCCATTATGTCATATCTCGTCTGCCCGGTGCCCGCCTGGTGCCCGTCACCCGCCTGACGCCCGGCGTCCAGCGTCCCGCCTCATACTGCATCTCTAAAATCTCTATCATTACATATTTAAAAATGTTTGTTTAATCTTGATTCTTACTAATATTATAAATGCAATAGTCAAGAGATGGATGTATGTTAGAGTTTGTAGCTCAAACTTCTGAATGGATCTCGATAAAATTTGGCATAGATGTAGAGGAAGGTCTGTAAGAATACGTAGGTTACTTACTATTGTTTTAGTTTCTACGCGGGCGAAGTCGCAGGCGAAAGCAAGTTTCCTTGTAAAAACGATGTTTGTGTTGTGTGGCCATATGTATAAAATATCCAAGCCTTAAATAATAAAATATCCAAGTACAGGATGTTTTCGTCCAAGTGATTAAAATAAAATCATTAAAACCATCTTGGTCACCATCATGAAATCCTTAAAAGAATATTAGAACATCTCTAGAACGTTAACGGATTAACCGAAGCAATTAGGCATCTGCTTGGACATCTTCATCTCTACACAGTAGAATATGCTCTGGTAGTTTTTAGGTGTCTCTAATATGACAAGTGTTTGTGATTCAAATTCATACACAACAACGGTAGGGTCACCAGCTCTGTGGTTGCAGGCGGGACAACTTGCAGGGCATTTACGATTAACTTACTTAAACGTCAATTACATACCAGCTTAATCATTATTATAGAATCAACATTAGAAATAAAATTAAAAAACGTCATCTGGCATGAAAATATATAATTTAAAGTCAAAACGCACACTCAGCACGATTTGTCAGTAGTTTCTTAGATTATATGTGATAGCCAACCTGCGGTGTCCTGGATTTTTGTTATGTTTTTGGCAACCCAGCGCGGCCGCCAGGCGTCGCGCGAGGCGCCGCCCGCCGGCGTCACGCTGCACCGAGGGGGGGTCGCCAGAGATAATAAACAAATAAAGCCGCCCCACTTGTACCGGGCGTTGCCTCGGCCACAGGAACTTGTCTATAAATTATCGTAAACAACGTTGTGACCCCAATGTTATTTATAGTTAGAGCGGCATCAAAACCTATCCATTTTAAACAGCTGGCACAAATAGAAAAAACTATATAAAAAAGTAACTCGATGGTTATAAAACTACAATAGCTACGTGCACCGTTGGCATACGGACAGAAATAAACGCAAACACAAATTAATCAGACAGTCGCAATCTCGCAATCTATATCAGAAGCGGCAATTATTAACGACCCAAATTATTTTATTGTCTGTGGCGCGCTGGCGCCGGCGAGACCTAAACACAGCTCCTTTGTGCTTAACGCATCATTGACAATGAAAAAATATATTGTATTTACTTACTCCACCGTTATTAACCGACTAAACTGGACATTTTCGCTTGTATAATCGGCAATGTTCACATGAAAGTCTGCTCTATTTATAAGCTCTTGCTTCTAAATTATGGCGTTAAAAACAAGATGATGATAGACGCGATGGTAATCATTAAAACGCCTTAACTGGCCGCCAGAGGGCGCGACGCTAAACTGTCAACACATTAAGACATCTAATAAGAACGCGATTGTTGAACGATATGCATTGTATACTTTGATATTATAGTCAAAAAAGCAAAATAGGTCATTTACAAAGGAAAGATGAATTAAATATCGTTTACTATAAAATATTCATATTTGTTGTTAGATTTACCGATTTATGTTACAGGAGAATCACGCAATTGATTGCGGATGCGGACTAGGGCTGCAAATACATGAAAACCAGAATACTGTAGGCAAAACAAGACGACCACTTGAACTTTACATCTAGTAGTATCTTTCTGTAGTGTGTCTCTATATTATAGAGTCTATAGCAACTTTCACATTCCACTATACCTCGAAAACTTACAAAGCCAAAGTGGCAACCCTAATGGTGATCTTAAGAACTCGGTACTCGTCAATCATCGTTTTAAATAACATTCAATCCATCAACATGGACTATCATATCGCAATTTTACTCCTTATTTCATAATATTTCATGTAAAGTATCTTTGAAGATACATCATGCAAACCAAGAGGGAAGGGCAGAGGTTACGTAAGTTTGCAGAAACACTTTATAGTGTAACTAATTGTCGTCGCCGAAGATCAAGATGAGTGGTGCTGGAGGCCCACATTCCCTTTTCCTTTCCATCCTTTTTCTCCAATTAGGATAGGATGGAAAAGTACCGTGGATTTGACGGTGGAGGACATGCATAGGAAGGGGTAATATTCTCTTTATGTGCGTCCTCCGTAAATTAAAGGTAGGAAACGCATCCTCTATTGCAAATGCCTATAGAGAGTGGTCTCTTCGCCATTTTAGCGGTATCAGGTGGCTGTTGCTAGTGATGTCGAGGTTCGTCTTTCCCGGGTTACTACGCCCATTTAACTAATGTTTGTTTTTAAGATAGATACGGCTGATAGAGTTAGGCCTAGAAAGAGATGGATTGCTTGAAAGGTATCTAGTATGGAGTAAAGACTAAAATGAACGACAATAGATCGATATTGAGTATAAAA